GAGATCGTAGCCCAGTTATGCTTACAAAACTCCATACAAACCCTTCGAAATTTTTTTTGGGTCGACCCAAAAAAAAATTAGAAGGGTTTGTATGGAGTTTTCTGAGTATAACTGGGCTACGATCTCAGAGACAATTTGCCCCCAAATGCTCATTTTTGGCAAGTAGGCCTCTTGGACATTGTTCTTTCAGAATATCCTGACAAATCCCATAATTTCAGAAATTTCACTTTTATGACGTCATCACTTTAGTACTCTATTGCGTTTGGGCTGCCCCTGTGGTCTCCCAAGGTGAGATAAAATTGATCAGCCTCAAATTTTTCTTTATCTTCACATTAGCGACATTACTGGCAAATCATTTTCACTAAAAAAATGATTTCCACCAATCGAATTTTTAAAATTCATACACAGGTATAACTTTTTGTTACAATCATGAGATGCATATTTGACAAAATCGACTCTCTTTTTCTGTTAAACAGTGGGACGTTAGCTTCTTCTATGACGCCCGTGATTGATCATTTTTTCCAGCAGTAAAAAGCCTTAGAGGACCTTGGAGAGGAGTCTTCCCTACTTAGCTGCATAATTATAGAATAAAAGTTGAGTGATGCAAGAAAATATAAAAATAAAACTCTACCTAAAAAAATCTTGTTCTCTCCTTATCGTTATAATGATCCCAATTCTCCATGTCATAACAAGTTTTCTTTCTTTGCCAGGGAAACATTATAAGCGCCGTTCGTTTTAATGGTTAATTTCAAACAGATAAGTTCCATACAACTTATTCTGTTTGCTTCTATGGAACTTGTATCCTTAACAGTGTCCAAACTTCACTGTTAAAACATATCATAAATCATTTGATCTGAATCTTGTTTTCAAAATCACGAATCTATGTCACATTATTTTTCGAGAAGCGAGGGTGAAAGGCGACAGATTAGCGCAGAGCGCAACGTGAAGAAAAAATCGCCTGGAAGCAGTCTCTTGCTCCATATGACTACTTCCAGCCTCTCTGTCGTCTGGCTCGAAGTCGATATTTTGTGTCTTCCCGCCTCGCGCTTTGTGCTCGATCCCCCGGGCCAGGAGTCCGACCATGCCTTCTGCTCGGCAACATACTCGGCCTCGGATTATGATTAACAAGGCTCGGTGTACTTCAACCTTCTTCGTGAGCCCAATTTTTCGAACTCTGGTGAAGGCAATAATCTTGCTATCTCTTCGTCAGGTTCATAAGAAGGCTTAACGAAGTTTATCGTAGACATGATGACCGCCGCTGAAGCTGCCACGCCACCTGTTACGAAAAACGATACGCTGTAGCTGTCTGAGATGTCAAAAATCCACCCTGCTATTGGCGGGCCTAGCGTTTTAGGAAAAGCCATAAAACAGTACAAAGCACCAATTGCGTAACCAACCATTTGGACGCCAACGATCTCTAGAGTAGCACCAGGAATAAGCATTTCGTAGCAACCGTCCCAAAATCCAAAGAAAAACGCGCACACAATGATCCACTCATATTTGGTTGCCTTAGTAACAACCGCGCAGATTAAGCCCATGAGAAGCACAGCCGTGGGGCAGACTATGAGCCTTTTGAAGTGTGGGTAATCGCACAAAACTCCGAACAATAAACTGCCGATTATTCCTCCTACAGACATAAAGCCTGTTAATAGGGAGGCATTTGATTTGCTGACACCCTTATCTTCTGCGAAGCGTACCTGTCAGAAATGAAAGATAAAAATCTTGGTCAGATCGTAGTTATTAGAGGAGACTGGTTATGAAAGGCAACAAACATCAAATATGTTGGAAGCTCCCTGAAGGAGATTAATCCTTTGTTTTCTGTTGGCAAATTGCAACGAAATAAATTAATGTGACGTTTTTATTGGTCAGCAAGATCAAAATGATGGGAATGCTATTGAACGTTGTGGACCGTCAAGCCCACAAAAACATATAACAAAGGAGTCTGACTGGTTTCATTACCATTCCAATCTATTAACTATGGTCAGATTTTACAGCAATGATTTAACAGTCTTCCCCAAACCACGCGTTGTTCAGGTTTAGGTTTATTACTACCTTGTAAAAAAGAGCACCTTAGAAAAGTTATGTTCAGTAGCTTCCATTCGAAAGCCATTTTCTCCAGAAATATAAACAGAACGAAAGGAAGGTACTCATCCTCAGACTCAAAGGTTAGAAACAATGGAAATGAATAGTACCACAGGAAATGCTATACCACTCAGTAGCTTTAATTTGAATGGCCAGACCGTAGGATTTCATCCACAGACTCAAAAGTTAGAACCACCTTGTACAGCATAATAGACAGAACCACAGGAAAGTGCTTCTCAGTAGCTTTCATTTGAATGGTCACACCATAGGATTTCGCCCACAAACTCAAAAGTTAGAACCACCTTGTAATGGAAATGAATAGTGCCACAGGAAATACTATACCACTCAGTAGCTGTTATTTGAATGGCCAAACCGTAGGATTTCATCTACGAACTCAAAAGTGAGAATCACCTTGAACAGCATAATAAACAGTACCACAGGAAAGTACTGCTCAATAGCTTTCATTTGAATGGTCACATCATAGGATTTCTTCCAGACTCAAACGTATCCCGGCACAATTATTTTGACTGTGAGAGTGAACAGGTTCGATTCAACAGTAGCACTGTTACGTACTATACAAAAACAAAAAGCTTACCAAATGAACAAAAGGCACAAGAAATACCACCATGAACGTACAATGCGCAATAACCCAGATGACGTAAGATTTGTTCTTGAAAACTTGTAGGTCGAAAACCACCGTATTACGCTGTCGAACGTTTGTCCCTGCTAAAGGAACAAAAGTCAGCGCGCTTAAAAACATCAAGATCTGTAGACTACTGAGAATTTGAAACGTCACCGAAATGCCAAATTCGGACGATAGCATCTGTATTAATGGGCCATATACCAGTCCCCCCGAAGCGGCGCCAGCAAGAGCTATCCCGGATGCAAAGCTCAAACGTTTCTTAAAATACTTTGTTAGAATGACAAGCGAGGGGAATAGGCCGAGACTTGATCCCAGGCCCCAAATCACACCATATGTAACGAACAGAGGTTGAAGTGTTGTTGCAAAGGAGCTGGTGAGGAGTCCTGCAGCCGATACAAATGAGCCCGCAATCACCACTACTCGACTTCCGTAACGTTCAGCCAGAGCGGTGCCCATAGCAGCGAACAGGTACATCATGCTGGAAGCCAGTGAAGTGACCCAAGCTGAGAGGAGAAAAGACAGTTAATATAATCTAAAGCAAAAGAATAGAACTGAATTTGAGGACGAGACAAGGACGAGATTTGAGTCTTTTTTCGCGTATTCTCAAAAAAATAGTCACCCTCAAAAGCTTCATTTTACTTCTTTTCAGCAGAAAAGTTAGCACGGAAATTTTTATATATTTAAAGAGATTAAGTCCTCTCCCGTTTTTTAATGTTAAAATCTTTACGTCACGTTATGTTTTCCCGCCACTACGCCATTTTCGCTAAACCTCGTAGTAGAGTGACGACGGCTATCACGTGTTCCCGCCAAAATGACGGGTTCACGCGCGCATCTCACTTGGTATTGAGAAAATCTCGTTCTCGTGGTCGTCCTCGCCTTAAAATCTAAAGGACTTAATTAGCCTAAAAAAGGTTAAACAGTATTCAAATGGGTTACCTGTTTCTCCCCTTGACGTGGAGTACTCATCCATCATGGCCACGTACACTACCCCTGCTGAATTATGTTGTCCAACAGTCAGGAAATTCACCACAAAAACGCCCGCGCAGACAACCCATCCCCACCCCCCATCGGTTAGCGAATTCTCCTTGCTTGACGAGGTTACCTCAGGTATTGCTGGCTGTGCTTCTTCGATAGAACATGCCCCTGACATCACAGCCTTGGACGAGTCTTTGGTATCACCTTGCTTCATTGTTATCAGACGACTCTTGCTTTTTAATTTTGCTATATATATGCGGAATTCCTACCAAAAAAAATCCCAACTCTCACTATTCAACTGAGAGTCAAATTGAGGCCTCCTCTTCAATAGCCAATGTTCTGTGAATTTAAATACGAGAAACGCATAATCAGCAGTTGAAATGGTTTTTTTATGTTACTAGGATTGTCAGTAATGCTAAATTAGTAATGGTAACAGGACTGAGTGGAGTCCAATTCGGTCTGTAATCATACGAGTGATTAACAAAATCGGACGACCGCGTAGCGGGAGTCCGATTTGTTTAATCACGAGTATGATTACAGACCGAATTGGACGACACGAAGTTCTGTTACCAATTAATCATAACTTTAACAAAATTTGTGATATATAGGGCTCTTTTTAAATCAAAACACAAGAAATTCCAAGACTTTTTCGCTAGCTATGAAAAAAAAAGCCCTTTAAGCGCGCACGTGATGGCGCGTACTGTCCAATTACTTAGGCATGACGCGTACTGTCCTATTAAACTGTCCTATTAAGGCTGAAATCAGGGCAGTTGAGAACCAATCAGATTTGAGAATTTTGTTATAGTTATGATTATGAAGAAAAATAGTGATGCTACTATCCATTATATACATCATAAGCGCCGTTGAAGGGATTCGCGGCACCGATGACATTTGGATGGAAAGTCGGTCGCGAGCGCAATGGCCACTAAGCTAAAAAAAAAATGTCATACATTATTCATGTTTATTTTTCCTATGCTGTGTGATAAGTATGTGTAATCAAATGGTGACGAGTGAAGTTAGGGAATAATTTCACGGGCGTTTTGTCCAAAAGAATTTGGACAAAACGCAAGTGAAATTATTCCCTAATTTCATGAGTATACCATTTGATTACCCTTTAATATCATGGGTGACGAATAACGTTAGCAATCTTGGATTTTTGACATGTTTGTCCTGGATCGTATCGATCGAGAATTCCACTCTCTCAAATGTTTAGACCTTAAATTTGGCTTATAAACAAAGAAACTTAGTAGGCCTTAAATTCGCATGTCCATTTTTAAAATACGGTGAAAGGGAAAAGTGTTTCGTTTTGACTTTTAGACCAACCCTCTACAGGCAGCGTTTGGGGGATGAATATATGCCCCAAGCGTCTCGACACGTTCCTTGAAAGATAACCCGGGGTTGAGGCAAATTCTGGTCAGGAAAACACAGCTAAAGCTTATCATACATAAAGGAGCAACCATATTTTAAGTCGATACCTTGTGACAGTAATAACTGATAAACGTGAGGTCGACGGCGCGTTCATTTTACCCCCCCTCCCCCCTCTCTCCATCAGTGCTCCGTTTTAAGGGTATTTAAACCTAGTAAAGGCTACACAGGAAAGAGAGAAGTTGAAAAAGATATGTCAGTAAGTTGAAAAAGATATGTGATGTCACCGGGGATCGAACTAAGGAACTCAGTAAGGTGATTTAGCAACAGAACATGAACTTTAGTTGACGACCGAGCGCGCAAATCAAACAACTGGCTTAAACAATGGCAGAGCGGGAAATTGGGTACCGGAAGTCGTGTTTAGTCCTTTATTCCGCGCGCTTTCCCGTCATCAACTGACGTTCCCGTTCTGTTGCTAACTCAGCCTAATGCCACCCTTGCTCAATAGTTGAGCCTTTACTCCGAGATCCCTTCATCAGGGGCACCCAATGACTGCTTTCTGTAAAACAGATTATCTTTTCGGAGAAGCAAATACCGCCTAGAATTTTCTACTGCTTGAGGACGGCTAAAAATTTCTAAATAACCGAAGGTTTCCCTGCGATTTTCTGAAGTTCAATTTTTTTATGTTAGGCCCTTTTTTCGTAAAAAAGAGAACCCTAAAAGTTTCGGATTCAAAACTGTGATGGACTGAGGACACAAAAAAATTCTTACTTTCGTATAAAACGTTAAATTGCATCTAAAATTTTCGGGAAAATAACACGGAAGCCCTTGTAATTTCGAAAAGACTCAAATTACCCTAGGAAGACTGAACAGATACGAATTTTATAGCGCCGCTTAGAATACATTTGTAGAGATCTAAAAGTACTCTAGATAGCCTAAAAACCCAAAGACTGTTTTCTGTAAAATATCTGTTCGGAGAAGCAAATATTGCCTAGAATTTTCTATTACTTGAGGAAGGCTAAAAATGTCTAGATGACCATTCCGTTCATGTACAAATTTCGAAGCTTCTAATAAATTCCTTACGTTTTTCTTAAGTTTAAGTAATGATCTGGGTAAGGTGGATAGCAATTTCTTTTGTTATGCGGCATCGGTGCTTTCCCCAAATAGGAATGTTCTCATTTTTACACAGAGAATGCATAAACCTACATGAAGGCCGTTTACGCAATAAAATGCATTTACACTCCACTTTGAAAGGGTGTTTTTTTTTTTGTTAAAAGATTTTAACTAATCACAAGAGTTGAAAACAATAGCCAAGAAAAGTTTACAATTTTACACGTTCCCCACATAGGATTTCTTTGTTATTCAAACTGAGACCAGATCTTGTTATATGGAAGATGGTTGGAAAGTAAGGATGAATATATGTACTACTTTATGAAGTTTTGTTAACTTTTGCTGTTTAAGCCAATCAGAAGTAAGCACAGACAACAGAAAAGTTGGCACCTTTTTTGCATTCCAATATGTTCGTTGCCGTTGTTGCTATCGTTCTTATCTGGACCGTTTCTTAATTTTTCTTTAATTTTTTTTTTTTTGGCTATTTTTCGTAGAAAAAAGGAAACCTAAAAGTTTCGGGTTCAAAAAAGTGATGGAGGGAAGAATCAGAATCAAATTCTTACTTTTGTAATACGTTAAATTGCATCTAAACTTTACGGGAAAATGATACTGAACCCTTGTAATCTCGAAAAGACTCAAGTTCCCCAAGGATGACCGAACAGATATAAATTTTATAGCGCCGCTTGTAATTCATTATTAGAGAAATAAAATCATGCTGCATAGCCTAAAAAGTGAGGTTTTGTTGGCGTTTATGATTGAGCCCGGTGATTTCCGACAATTTTCAGAAGACTTCCTAACGTTGACGAAAGTGTCCGGAGATTTTCAAACGACCTTTGAACACTTCCGAAGCTATTTGATGCTTTTCCGATGGCTTTCGAACTGATTGTTAAAAAGAAGAAAGAAATAATAAAAATATATGAAATGAAGTTTATCAGTTAAGGTGTTAATAAAGGACAATTCGAATTTGTCCTCGATGCGATCGATGTTAAGCCACATCAAAAGGCGCAATCGCCGACTACGATCGTCTGACAATGACAGTTCCATCGAATTGAGACCAAAAACTGAGGCCTACAGAAACTCTTTTTGTTGCAGGACAATAAAGGAATGGAATTCATTGCCTCGCAATGTTTCAGATATAGAAAAAAACCCATTGTTTCAGAAAGCGCTTACATCAGATTAGAGTAATTGAAGTTTTTAACTAGCAAGTGACATTTACTACATTGATTGTTGTTGTTGTTGTTTTTTTCAATTTCCAATTTATTTATTTATTTATTTTTGAATTTTATCAATACGTCTTGCAGTGATGGGTACCAACCTTTGTAGGACTTTAAATTTTATGTACATGTAGATGTTTTAAGTCCGCAGGCGTGAGACTCACACATAGATTCTTCAGTCATAAGAGCGAGGCAAGGAGCCTCTCTGTTCATTTTGCCTGTGTATCTGGGTTTTCCTAGTTTATTTTACGGCTTTAATTGAATAGAGGGCCACTCCTATGGCCAAATTCATCCCCAATGGATTTATCATTGTTTTGTATCCCAGCAAGGCAGAGTTCAACGGAAGCGAGATTCCGCCAAATCAATAATGGGCTTTATATGTAAAGGAACATAAAGCCTAAAATAGATCTAGTTCGCTTCGGTCTGTTTTCATTGTTGCTCCATAGTAGCGTGTTGTGCTTTTTATTAAACAGTAATTTTCTTTTCATTTCCTTAATTCATATTGACGGACCCTGGCAAAATGAATCGTGCAATAATTGCCATTTTTTTTTATGTTTGTCCGTTCGTTTGTTCCAGCTTAAATTTTGCCATGCCAAAGTCTGTAGTTACCCTGAGTTGATTTTTTTCTTGAGTAAAGTTCTTTCTTGCATTTTCTTTGTGACTACTGCTAAATTTTCAGGCGTTATATAGATGAATGTCATTTTTAATGACGTCTTTTTTAGGAAAAGGCCTGGTCAGTTTATTTGAAGCGAGACCGTAAGTATAATTGTTACTTTACTAAAAGCATTAGAAGAAACGTCAAAAACGTTCCAAGTGGATTCCGAAAGCGTCCTTTAAAGGAACTGTGTCACGAAATTGCCAAATTAGGAAATTACAAAATGCCCGTTAAATTAAGAGAAATATAAAAATAACCGCTTAAAACTTTAAAGGAAGGTTAAAATAACATAACGGAAACAACGGATGCCAGAGATGGGCAAAACAAACGGATTGAAATTAGGATTTTTGAAAACTGTTCAGCCTAACAGTTTTTCAAAGTTGATCCCTGCTGCTTGCAACTTCAAAAATAATGCTTAGGAGACATTTGTTTGGATCTCGGATTTTGTCATTTACATGTAATTTCTTTGCGTACTTTAAGTTCCATAGAGATTGAGGGCGAGTAGTTGGCAAAATTAAACAAAATGAACTGGACTACCGTAACACAGCCCCTTTAATGCCCTGACATCGTCATTCATACATTTTAACACTTTGACGTCATTTTGGCAGTGAGAAGTGCGAAACTTTGTAATTTCACATGTGTTAAATTTCGCGCCAAAATTAGGGAGTAATTTGTCACCCATGATATTAAGGATATAACTTCTACTCAAACATTTATGTTCTCTACCAATCGAATTTATAGAATTAAAATATAGAAAACCATATCTGATGCAATCTACTAGCTCTCTCATTTTTATAGTGTGGGACCGTTAGTTAGCCTCCTCTTGGAAATCACGTTACCCGAAAAAATGGCGGCAAAGGAAAGGTGCTT